ATGAAAATACAGACTAAAATAAGTAATTGTACAAACTCAATTAATAAATGCTGTTTAAATACTGGTCTTTGTGATGGATCTAAAATCCTGCACCACTCAGAGGGTTAAAGGTAGAGAACTTTTCTAAATCTATATCTAAACATATATAAGAAATAATAACATATATTATTAAAAATTATAGCATCAATGAATCATAAAGGAGACAATGTGTGATAGTCTAGTCACTAGCATTTCATTAGCTGTGAAATGCGTTTTGATGTCGGGCCTTTTATTTATTCGTATTAGAATAATTAATCCTAGGAATCCCTTCATTTTAGGCACAGCTACAGGAGTAGACTGTTATTTTGGATGTAGATGGATTTTTCACTCATCTTTTGTTCATAAAAATTTTTAGGTTCTTCAACTATAATGTTCATTAGATCATCATAAAAAAAATAGTGAAAAGGTCAATTTCATTCACATAACTTTAAATTAAATTTACTACTGCAGTTCCTGTAAATTCATGAGGTTTCAGTTACTTAACCCTTTCAGAGGTGGTATATAAAAGAATTTAACCCCTTCGCGCCAACTGTCACGTCTACCTGCCAGCAACGAAACACACTCACTTCCCGGCCGATACGCAGGCATGCCAGAGCATTTTCCCGTTCAACCCCGACTGTCACGTATTTGTGCCAGTGTCCTGGAACGTTTTAAAAACTGTAATTTCTGCCACAAGATGGCACTGTATGTCCATATGGTTTCAGATACATGTATATTAGACCTTCTACTCGAAATGAGAGAAGCATGACTCACATACACGTGTTTTTGATTATATAAACAAAAGGGGAAATAAATGTTTCTGAATGCCGTGATTTATGACGTCTCTTTGAATCCCCTTTTATTCGCACGTGGTAGTTGTGTATTGTAAGTAGAGAAGTTTTATTTTTGCTAAAGCGCTGGGTATTTTGGTTTGCAGTTCCGTATTTTGAAAATAATTAGATGTTGTTAGACGTGAATTCTTTCTGTTTTTACTATTACAACGTCGAAGCGTCGTAAATGTTTAACAGAGCATGAAATAGCAGAAATGATGCAAAATATTTCAGATATTCATTCTGAAACAGATTCTGATAGTAGTTATAGTGATACTATAATATATTCTGATCATAAAGAATCTGGCGAATCTAGTGATGATGAGCACATTTCGGACATCTGTATGCCGATGTTCATCATCATTAATCCTTAATTAATTAATGTCCTCATCATCAATGTCGTTATTACGAGTGCGTGGAATGTAACGTAGGACTGTGTGTAGATCCCTGTTTTCAAATTTTTCATACGAAAAGAGAATTTTAAGTAATATATTTAGTTTTCAGATGTATAATGTTAAAAGTCATAAAATGGTGAGTAATGAAAATAAAATGTGTAAAATATGCATTTAAACAAGAAATAAGGTGATTAAAGTATATATAAAAATATAAAGCATAAGCCGTTTAAATACTCTATAGAGCATTATTAAACAATAAATCGGAAATTTCATGGATTTAGGCTTAATAGCAAAAAAGCCCCCGGCCCTGGACAGACGCTCGCGTAAGACACTGCCGGCCTCGCTACCTGGCGCGAAGGGGTTAAATTTTACATGAATTGTAACTTATGTACCCTAAGAACACAAAATTGATACTTTAAAAAAAATTCCATAGTGAAATCTAGAATTTTGAGGGCCGATTTGTTTTATGAAAAAAATTAACAAATATAGCATTGAATGCATAAACCACATCATGCTGTAAGTAATCTAGTATAATGTTACAAGGTGTAACTCAGCTGAAAAATGAAACACTACATACAACACAGCTGGAAAGTTGCATTTTTGAAGTTATAATGTTTTATGCTTTAGCTCAAGGTTTCTAAACTGTGGGTCGCGGGACTTGCAGCAGGGGATCACCAAAAATGTTTAGCAGTTTTGATATTCCTTTAACTTACTACAGTCAAAATTCTTTAATCTGGACTTGTCAGGACTTTGGCGATTCCCCGACACAAAATGCAGATTTATCTGTTTTGCATTTTTGGCCTTGTTGCCTTATATAAATATGATTTATTTCTTGACGTTTCTTAAAGCTTAATCATAGATTTTTGAGTTAGCCTGTATATAACAGAAAGATGAATTTTACTTTGTCGATGCATGTGACAGATGATCTCCTTAAGATGGGAAGCTTAGCAAAGTTATTCATATGTCGTAATGGAAATTTAAAAAAAAATATTATACAGTCAAAAGTCTTTAATCCGGACTCATCGGGACTTCGGCGATTCCGGATTATTGGTTTTTCCGGATTATAGATCATCAGTTTAAATCTGGTAAGATGGCATGCAGAAATTATAAAATAAAAATATGAAACCATAGTTTATGAAATAAAGAGCAATTATGATCTAAAGGGTATCAAAATTTTACAAAAAAAAAAAAAAGCTTAATATTTATTTGTTTACTTTATTAAACATTTCTTTCAACACGTGCATGCGTAAAGCATACATTACGCATAGTCGAAATTAGAAAATTGCAACCAGAAAACTATTTGATGTGTATTCATGATATTTATAATGACGAGGAACTGGATTTAAATCATATCAAAGACAGAGTACATCGAGATGAAATACTACATTTAGTAAGGAATTATAAGCCAAATAAAATAAAAACGTCTGCCCTTAAGATAAGGATAGTGCGGACAGATCAACTTCCATTTCATTGCGCGCTGTGTCGTTGTCCCCCTCCCCTGCAGAGCAGCGTAAAATTGATAAACATATTTCAGAATGGTTAGAGAATCAAAGGATATGCTTTTATCCAATTTTTGCAGCAATTCCACTTTTTGTTTGATGGATATCGAAAGATGCTTTTGCTTTGTAGATTCTTTGGTAGCTCCAGAATCAGAAATTCTTTTTGACATAATCGAAAGTTCAAGCTTAATTTTATAAAATTGCTCTAACAGTCCGCAAAAAATAATAAGCCGGATTCAATTACAAGCTTAATAAACAACGCAATCTGCAACATTATCTGAAATAGATAATGAGATAATTTTAGCTTAGCTTGTACCGTCCGTTATACATTAAACACGCATGCGTAAACGTATTATGCGCATGCGTCGATGCATACGCAGAAAGTTTGTAGCTTTTAGGTCCGGATTATAGATCATTTCGGATTATGGACGTCCGGATAAAAGACTTTTGACTATATAATAGTTTTACAGTTACCAAATATTTTTACACAATGTATCTGAAAATAGATAAAGGTAAGACAATACAGACAAAGGAAAAAACGAAAATGTTTCGACGCATTCCTTTTATAATATAAACGTTCATTTTCCTTGCTTTGCAGTTGACGTACAAGTGAAACAATTGACTGTTTCTCTCATGCTTGTCGGATTTGCGCAATACTTATGGGGTCCCACAAAATTTTTGTAAATATTATGGGGGTCCTGGAGGTTTGGAAAATCTCGGTGATAAAAAGGGATCACGAGTAGAAAAAAATTTAGGAAGACCTGCTTTAGAAATGTAAAAAGACCTTGCTTTCTACTATAATACCATGATTTGTCCTCACTAACTTTCGGCCCGATAAATTTTGTAAATGTTTGTAATAGATCATGTTGTTCAGAAAGAAAAATGGTTAAACAATATTGATATTTGATACACCTCAAAGCTCTTATTTTGATTTTGAACCCCTTTGACTTCCTAGGTGCCCCTTTTTAACTTTTTGATAAGTAAGGTAATAATATATTATTTTACTCAGGAAGAATCTCTCTTCAATAGAGGTAAAGTACTAACATGCCCCGAAGCTCTTTTTGTTTTGTTTTTTTTCCCAATTATGGGTCCTGCCAAACCACCTTTCAAACGATATTTTGTTAATAGAAAATTTTTATAAATTTATGTAGTTTTAAAATGAAGTGTATAATGAAACAAATAATAATATTTTGTAAATAGGAAAAGAAATGCTAGACATTTCTGTGATCTATTTATAAAGAAAAGTATATAACTAATAGCAAAAGAATTTGAAATATGATATATAGATGTTTTCTGGAATATCATTAAAAATAGCATTTTTTGAATATTTATTTTGCAATTAATTTCCCAAGATTATAAAATTTTAATATATAAGTATTTGTAGCAAATTATAAAAAGTGATGCTTAAAATATCATACATAAAACTGCAATACACGGTATGGATTATAATTAATATAAACATATACATATCTATGAAATGCTATTGTGAATGAAACTTCTTGAAACATGTTTCACTTTTTATTTGCATGCCTAAAGGAATGTTACAAGTGGCACACATCCATTTTGTTCTTTTTTCTTTTCTGTACTGCATAATGCACAGCATCTTGGTGTGTATCACACTGCAAGATGTTCAGTGTGCTTCAACCTTTCTGCTTGTGGCATAAAGTGTTTGTGTACTTTTATGGCAACAGGTGACTTCACTGAAATTTTACATTTAGGCATATTAGCACATTTGCCCAAGTATATCAATAGTGTGACTGTTCAGGTTTTTCGGGGCACATTTTATGTAATATATAAGAGCTTATTAGAGTTGCATTAAAAATTTTTTAAAAAATCCTGTGTCACCATTTTTTGCTTTTCCTATCAATTTCATTTTTACTTTTCAATTGATCAAATTTGAAATTCTTATTAAATGAAGCTGAAACGTTCAATATTTTATAGCATGAAATTAACTAATTTTCATTGTTATATATGAAACCCTTTTAGCTTTTTTTTTTTTTTTTTTTTTAAACTTATGAAGTTATAAATCTCTTCTAATATGTATTACAATTTTCAGTTTCTGATATCATGTCTGTTCTTATTTATATTGCAAATTTCTGTTTCTGCAAATTTTTTCAAAGAGACTATAATGTTTCGTTTTGTGTTGAGCATTTATGTGATTTCATTCATATCGTCATCAGTTTTTTAAATGTTATGTGAGTTTATTTCGACACATGTCACAAAGTTCTGTATATTTCTTTATGAATGTTGTATTGCAGATGCTTGTTCGTGGTGTGAAGGGTGCGATTGATATGTTTAGAACTGCATTACCAAATTCTCCAGTTGACATTATCTGTGGAGAAGAAACTGGAACTCCATCAATGAAATCCACATTTGAAGATGCAAGTCCTGACCATAGATTTCAAGAGCATTTGCTTGATTACTCTAGTCGTGTGAGTTTTTAAATGTGTTATTAAATTTAAAGTATGTTTCAGTGTAATTTTTAAAAGTGGGGAACCTTTATTAGCTAAGTACGGATATATGATACTGTGAATAGTTGAAAATTTGGATAAAATGGAAGAGGTAGCCATTATGGATTAACAGTCTCTGATAAAGAAAATATAAAATATTTGACCAGTTCTATGTGATATAGTATCACTTTTAATTTTTCTTTTTTCAGATCTTTGTGAAGGTAGTGTTTCATGAACAATCAAAGCAAGCAAAAACACACATTTTTGTGGTGGCTCATTTATAATACTGTTAATATACAAAATAGTTGTAAGGGTGAAAAATATGTTACAGCAATGTTAAGAAAAGGACAAAAATTAACACAACGTTTTATGATACATTCACGAATTTTGTATAATGTAACATGAAAAGTATGAAGAACCGAAGTTTTGGCAACAAAATAAGACTAGTCTTTAACGTTGAGTAAATGGCTATCTCTCAGATTTGGCGAGATATCACCAAGCTGTCAGTGTTCTTGGCAACTAATTTTTATCACCAAATTTGGCAAGAAATTGCCAAAAGTCTCCAGACTTGGCAACAGTTTGGTACTGTAACTGAATAACTGTATTTGATCCCTGAGTTTAACTATAACCATATCCTTCCCTTATATATAACTTAAGCCATATATGCCTTCCAGTAACTTCAAGGAATGGAACTTACTTGAGACTTCTGGGCGGCCAAGGCAAAACTATATAAGTCTTAAGAGCTTTCACTTTTTTCAATTCAGAGTCGACTTTGGAGTATTGAGATATCTTGGTGTAAATGTCGCTCTTTAGATGCATTTTAGGTTGTATTGTGTTTAATGTTCTGAGTAGTTTGAAGTGTAACTACTGATTGTGCTTTATGATACTGAGAAGAGTCTTTTGGTAAAATAAATTTTAACAAGCTAGCATCAGTTCTGTGTGCATTCAGTCCTTTGTAAACCCATATGCACACATAAATTTTTGGCATCAGAAGTGGGATTGAATGCCTGTGACAAGAGCAATGGAGGGACATCTAAGACAACACATCATAGCCTTTCCTGCATTCGAAGAAAGCTGAAAGCAGGACAAGAATCTCTTAAAGAAAAGATAAAAGTGGGTCAAGAAAAGATTGAAGAGTCAAAAGGGTATAAAAAGAGAAATTACTGCCGTAATATAAAGCAAATTTGAAGCTACTGAAGGCAGAAAGACACAGTTGAAGACAAAGCTGGGGAAATTGAAGAAAGTTTCTGCTGTCGAACAATAAATTGAAGAAAAAGTTTCTGCCGTCCAACAACAAATTGATGGCAGGGTTTCTGCTACTTCAGTAAGGAAGTTTGAAAGTTGAAAGAAATCCATAACTGCAGCTGATCACAATTCTAATGCCTTTAAATGTGAACATATGTTGTTCTGACCCTCTCTAAAGCTATCCGCATATGATGGAAAGACCTGGCAAGTGCATAAGATGCAGTTCTATATACTGGCTAGGGCAAATGGCTTGTATTTCAAAGCTAAAGCCTGCCATTTGGCCATTTATTTGAGAGCAGTTGCAGTCGATATGCTGTAAATACTGCCCAAAAACCAGAGGCTAAATTTTGAATCTCTATCCACTGCGTTATAGTTGTTTTGGTGAGAAGTGTTATAAAAGAATACAGCTGGCTTCTGGTAAAATCTCACCAACAGAGGCTGACAAAAACAATCCAGCAGCCCACCACTAATGATGAAAGTCTGATAGGCGTACTCGTCGACCTATCCAGGACCGTCATTCCAATTAGAATTGCCAACGTAAGTGATAAGTCGAATGTGCTCCAGCGACCTGCATTAAACGAACTAGTCCATCAAAGTCTGTCTTCAGAGACCTAACATCAGAGTTATTGTAGAATGCACATCTAAGTGATGGAAGGAAACATGCTACTGAATGTGTCTTTCAAGAACTTGATGTTTTCTAAAACACATTTTGATGTAAGTCAAATCAGTTTGACTCAGCTTAAAATTCATGAGAGATCATCCACCAATTAAGAACATCTAAGACATTTACCAATGGATAAACAGGAGGATGGAGGAAAACTTCTAAAGGACATGCCAAAATGTGATGTTATCAAGCCTTTAGCAAGTCTGTAAGCCTTTCCTATCATACTGGTCTGAAAGAATGATGGTTCGACTAGATTTTGTTTTCACTATAACTGGTTGAACGAGGTCTTGAAGAAAGACAGTTACTTTCTGCCTAGAAGTAACGATGTTCTGAACACTCTGGAAACACTAAGGTTTTCTACCATTTCATTTAAAGAGTAGATATTGGCAGGTAGATGTACACCCTGATATGCCATTTGGATTATGTAATGTGCCAGCGATGTTCGACTGCATTATGGAAACATCACTGAAATGTCTGTCTCTTATGGAGCCTGTCCAATTAACCTAGATGACATCGTCAGGAAAAGTTTTAGATAACATTTGGATTAAGAAAGGAAGGTGCTTCAGGAATGAAGGAAGCCAATCTAAAGTCCCGCCAAATGTAAATTGTTCAGACAGAAGGGATTTACTTCAGACAAGTCATCTCTAGCAAAGGTGTGTGTACGGATCTAGGAAAATTGTCAGTAGTTAAAGATTGCAGAGGATAGAAAATTTTTCAGCTGATGGAAATTTTCATCAGCTGAAAATTTTCCTGGACCTTTGCATTTACAATAAGACATTTGTAAAAGACTTTTCTTCCAGTGCAAGACCCCCTTCACGAACTTATAGATAGCAAAGAAAAGTTTCTGTGGACAAAATCTTGTGGTGATGCATTTAACAAATTGAAGGACACTTTAACATCTGCGACAATCTTGATGTATTCTCAGCTTGACAAATCACTTATTCTTGACATGGATGTGAGCAATGAAAGTGTTGATGCTTTTTTTTCCCAAGAAAGAACTGTGTCATCATTAAAGTGTTGTTTGCCATAATTAAAGATGTTAAAGATTCCCACAATTATCTCTACAGGAGAGAATTTCTATTCCATGCACATTATGCATTGTTAACCTGGCTGTTAAATTTCAAGAATCCCAAAGACAAATTCGACAAATGGATATAGTGAATACAGGAATATGATATCACTATCAGTCGTAGGAAAGGATCATAACATAGAATCATTGACACCCTGTCTATAAAACCTTGCCCAAAAAGCTACTGATATTATTCCAGGGTTGAAGTGAAATATTAGCTGGTTAATCTGGCCGCATGTTAAGTTACAGCTTCAACATCAGCTGATCCTGACTCATGGAGTGACAAAGCAGTCAGGATAGACCAGTTGGAAGATTGGGGCATTGAACCCATAATTAATTCAATGGAGTCTTCAAGCAGGAAGCTTACTTGGCAGGATATTTCAGTCTATAACCCTACAATGAAATAATACTGGGCTCTCTGGGACTCGCTCCATAGTTGAAACGGCATCTTGTACTGGATGTTCGAATCAGGTAATAGGAAGGCATTGCGACTGCAGCCGATAATTCCAACATCCTGGATCCTGAATGTCCTTTTAACCCTCTGAGCATTATGAGTGGCTTTATCCGGTCATCAGAAGTTTTGGTACTTGGCATAAATTGACTGTAATTTAAGATGTTTTGCTTTCTTACTTTCATTAATAATGTAAATATCATCTTAATGAATGTATGTTTATGAAAATACAAACTAAAATAAGTAATTTAGAAACTCAATTAATAAATGCTGTTTAAATACTGGTCTTCATGATGGATATAAAATCCTGTACCACTCAGAGGATTAAAGAACTACATAGCAGCAGTCTATATAGTCCTATGAGGAAACAATATTGGACTCGCTCCATGTTCAAAATTGCAAATTGGATTAGGGAAAGCCATTCCGGTAGCAGCTGATACTTTCAAGATCCCGTACATCCGTAACCCTGCTATTCTATTCATATTTACTCCAAATAAGTAACGTTCAGGTCAAAATGACCCAATTCAGAAAACTAACCTTTCTTGCTGTAAATGACAGGTGCCATTTAAGAAATGTTTTAAACCCGTGGTATGCAAGAGAAAAATAGGTGGTAAGCTTAAATATTTTTAACTATTAAATTCAAAATTAAAACCCCAAAATCCCGATTGAGTTTTTTCCTCTAACACTCATAAATTTATGCAATCTGAGCTTTGTTCAAGAGTGGTGGTAGTAGTACTTTGTAGTGGTGGTACTAAAGGTTTTCAATTTTTGTTTAGATGGTACATGTTAGTCAAATGCTGCTTGTTTAAACAATAGTAATATAAGTTTAAAAATAGATCTAATAATATAAAGCATCTATAAAAATAACAGAAAAATATTTGAAATTGAAACTTCCAATAATATAAAGCATCTACAAAATAACAGGAAAATATTCAAAATTGAAACTTACCGTCATTTACAATTTGAACAGTAGTATCTTACAGGAGATTTGCAAATGTGATTCTTACAATTGTAGCATAACATATTAGTTTTGTTGTCATTGCTTGGTGGACACAGCTTGCACTTTCCACGTTTGACAAGCAATGAAGTTTTGCTTGTATTGCCAGATCCCGATGGTGCGTTTTCCCTTTTTTCTCTGTATTCTTTTTGCTATTTGTATTGGGTCCTCACTTCTTGGTTAAGTGTGGTCTTTTCTCAGTGTGTGGAAAAATGAGTGATTATCCAAGTTCTTCCAAAAATAGCCTTCGTTTAATCAATTTGTTTTTGTTCCATTCACTGTGTATTACTACATAAAATGTGCATGTCCATAGAACATATGCATTGTATGCAGAAGTATCAAGCATGCTATAGAATGCTATCATAGAACCAGTGATTTGTTTTCCTTTTGCAAGTGTGTGTGTTTAAAAGTTTATCAAGAGTTTCCACAGCCCTTTAGTTGAATTATAATCTAGGATCATTAGTTTTTTTTTGTTTGTTTGTTTGTTTGTTTGTTTGTTTAGGTCTGTTGCTAACCTCTTTGTCATGATGCAGAGTGCTCATAAGAATAATGTTCTTGTTCTTTTTAGGGATGTAGTTTTACAAATGTTGTGTCTTTTGTAAAATGAAATAATGAGCTGTGAACTTCTCTGTTTGGCATTTCTTTAGGAAATTCTGATTTATTTTTTTAATAGTGCCATGCATAGTCATTTTCCATTTTAGAAGTTTTCATAAAAAAAATGTGAAAAAATTATCACATGTAATACACACTATTCGCATTCCCTAATTTCTCTCTGGCTTTGACCCTTGTTCTTTTCCAGTGTAAATTTGTGTTTTCAGTACATACGGAATTTTATTGTCACATGAAGTCCATATTTTGATCCCAAATTTAGATGGCTTACTTGGTATATATTGTTTGAAAGGATATTGGCCACGAAATCCTTCTGCTATTCATCTACAGTAATATTTTCATTCGGATTATATAATTTTGGCAGAATTTCTATCCACTTTTCCCAGATATCTTGAACTACAGCTAATTTATCCAAATTTTTTTATTCTTGATGAATGGATTTATTATCAAAGCAAATAACTCTCGATATGGTGCAGAATGTTTTGAGGGACAGCGTCGTACGAAATATATTTCAGCCAGTTTCTTTATAAGCTTTTTTTTATTATTATTATTCTCCATATGATTTATAAATGCCAGCTAAAAATAATAATCCAATATATGCCTGAAAAGTTTTAATTTCTATATTTTTCCACTCTTCTCCTTCAATATTAGTCATTTCTATAATTTCGTTTTCAACTGTAGAATTGAATACTATCTCAAATGCACTTTTTACGTGTGTATCCTTGTTGCATATTTGTGACCCCTGGAGTAGTTTTTGTAATATTAGCAGCTGTTGATAGAAAAGAATGTGGCAGTGTATCCAACTTCCACTTTATTTCAAAATTCTTGGACTGAATACGCTCTTTATAGTTCATTTGTTAAATATCAGTAATCGTTGTCAGGACTTTCACTCTCATCACTTGTATGATTTTCGTACTCAGATACTTCTTCGCTGTCAGAAGCTTCTATTAGTTTAGCTATATCAGCGTGACCCAAATTTATGTGATTCGCCATTTTTTTCTCTCACATTCACAGGCATCACTCTTACAGTATATCAGAAAGTGAAATACAGCAGGGAAAAAAAGCGTTGCAATAAGAGAAAATAGTTTGGCTCCATACCGATCGTATTGACTTTTTTTTACCTTGACCAAACACATGCATCAATGAAACAGGTTTCGAAAATGGATAAATTAGAGAAACTGTTGTTATTCTTTCTTTTGAATTATTCCAAACAAAAGTGAACATGTATGAGTAAAAATAAGTGATTTTTTGCATTGGGTCGTAAATGTAAAAATATTCCTTCGAAATACAAACAAACATAAATCCCTCTAGGAGTATGTATTTATATTATTTACCAAAAATGTCAAAAAGTTTCAGGAAAATATCCCTGTACTATATTTTTATGAATGTATAAGTTTTATTTTGGGTCATATAGACTCGAACAGAATGGCAGCGTACATAGCAGTCCAGCTGCAGGCGACTCCAAAATAGTGAATACCTTGCACTGTTTGAGAGCGTGAGGCTCTTATGGTAGCAGAGGTGATACAATATTGAATTTCCGGGTTAGAAGGGCCTCTTCAATTATATTCCAATCAAAGAAGGAATTTCCTCTCAGCTCTGGTGAAAGAAGTCTCCAAGTTACTTAGCATCTTCAAAACCCAAATGACAGCTTTACATTCGACCGGGTAGAGATGTGTAATCGAACCATAGTTAATAACATCTTTCTCTTGGTTTTCAGAAACTAACAGGACAAGGACCAGAAGTTATCCCTGTTCTTACTATCCTAATCGCAATGCTATCTGCCAGACTACCGGCTATTCCTCGTCCCAGATGTTCATGGGTCTAGTATCTGTACCCCTTACTATGGCTATAGTATATATATAATGTAAATAGAATACTAAGCCCATGGTCCTATTTGTGTATAAATTCATAAATTTAAGCATTTTATTATTGGTTTAGTGTTTGATTTGTTTTATGCTATTTATTACAATCATTGTTTTAGTATTGCATTGATTTTCCTTAGTTGGAAGTATGGCTTCCTCTCTAGGGATTGTACTTCCCAAGATGTGCAATACGTGGGAGAGGGGCAGTGTTGCAGATTTTGTGAAATGTAACCTTAAGAGTCTGAAGAATAAAACTTTGCCAGAAAGGTAAGAATACAGGGCCAAGTCTGTTTAATGTTGAGTAAATGGCTGTCTCACTAAAATTGTGAGATATTTCCTAAGTAGGCAGTGATTTTTGCAGCTAATTTTTGTCATCAAATTTGGCAAAATTTTTATCTGATTCCTATATTATTTTGGCAACATCTTTTTCTGTTTCCTGTATCTGTAATTGGTATTGTGATTTAGTAAATGTAATTGATCTTTCTATGTAACTGTAAATGGCCCTAATATGCCTTCTAGTATATTGGGGAAATTGAAGGTACTGAAGTTTTCTCAGGGCCGGGGAAAACTATATAATCCTGGAGAGAGCATTAGTTTCTGTTTTAGTGCAGAGTTGAGGTCAGAGTATTAAGAATTCTCCATGAGAGCTTCACTCTTTAAATGTGCATTGTGTTAAACATTCTTAGTTTGAAGTGTAACTACTGATTGTGCTTTGTGATACTGTGAAGAACTGTATGAATATTTTTGTTGAAATTTCCAGAACTGTGAACTGTTTCTTTTGGTAAAATAAATTTTATCAAGTTATCATCATTTCTGTGTGCATTAACCACCCGTACGCTCTCAATTATACATTGTAGAATTTTGGAATTTCTTTAACAGTGTATTTTTGTCCCCCTCCTATGCTGCAGATTTTCACAATCAGCAGTTATATTTCTGCCTTGCATTATACAAAAATGCTGTACCAATGGCATTTAGATAATCTGTATTTATAAGCTTGAATGAAATTTCCATGTGGTTGCAGTATAAATGGCAAAGTTTTAATGAATTATTTTTTTTAAAAAGTTACAGTTGCTCTGGAGGTGATACTAAGCATTGGTTAACTGTGACTACCATATTTTTTTTTAATCTTGTTGTGTAGAAACTTTTTTTTTTCTAGCATTAATGTTTAATTAAATGTTGTTATTCTGCATTGTTATGTTGTTCAGTCGTACTGTTCCTTTGTGTGGCATGAAGTCTTATTCTTTTTTATATTAGGAGCCAGAAATTAAGGAACATGTAAGGAATTATTTCAAAAATTTTCTTGAAAATCCTTCATCAGAGTCTTTGCATGAAGCTTGGAAAACAGAGGATATTCCTAGGAAGTCTTCCTTATTAAGGCATACCTGTAGTTTAAAAATTGAAGATAGTTGTCAGTGTTCCAGATTATTCACCTTGAATGGTAAATATATAAATGTTCCATTTCCTGATTTTTATATTTTTATATTTAGATTATGTGCTTAATTCTGGACTTTATCACTTTTCAGATGATTATTATCTCAAAGAAGAAAATCTTTTTGGAAATGTCATCATTGAAATAGTTATTGAGACACTTAAATTTAATGAGATGAATTATGATCGTCTGTTTTCTCTAATGAAGTTATGTGCATCATACATTGATAGGTAAGACACATAATATAACTACTGTGCAATATGTTTTGATAAATAAGGCCAGCTTTAAATTTTAATTTTTCTAGTTTAATAATATATTCATTTTGTTAAAAGAAAATGTAACTGACGAAACACGGTATTATTCTGAAGCCATTAGCTAATTTAGGTTAAAATAAATAATTAGATAAATTTAAAGAATGTATTATTATCCTGTAGTATTTCAGGTATAATATTAAAATAAGATAAAGAAATGAAATTCCCATTTTTATTTTTACCTGGAGATTTTTGGTTATTTTTGATAAAATATTAAAAGAAGCAGGGAAATCAACAAGAAGGGTTTCATTTTAAAAACTTTATTTTGTCCACTAAACATTTAGAGAAAGCTAATCTATTATTACTGTCTTAAATCTGCATATCTGGGTTATTTATCTAAAATTTACAATGTTGTATAAGGTTTTGTGTGTTTTTTTTTTTATTATTATTATTATTATTATTATTATTATTATTATTATTGTGTGTGTGTGTGTGTGATTTCCAGCTTATTCGATATGACATATGTAAGTAGTAAGTTTATTATTGCTATCATGTAAATTTTACATATTAAAAAGTGAAAGACAATGTGTTACAGTAATTTCTAAGACTGCACTCTGGTGCACGAGTGACATTGAATATGATGGCAAAAGGCAGTTTTTGAGAGTGAGACTGGTGTACCTAAATTACCTAAAAGCTTAACCCTTTATTGCATCATGCCACTCTAGTAGACAAAAGTTTAAATTTGTTTATTCTTCTGTAAATGCCTTAACAAATTCCATTCCTGTGTTTATTCATTCTAAATTAGAACTTTCAACGGTCGATCATAGATGGCTGTATAGCATCACTAAGTACAGCATTGCTATTTGGAAAAGGTCTGCTACTTCTGTTTCCAAGTTAGTACAATTTCTCATAGTAAACATTATATAATATTGCTTACATTTTCTTATACTGCTATTTTTTATTCATAATTAGTAATTTTAGACATATTATTTTAAATGTCAGTTTGAGAAAATTGTGGAGTGCGTAGATAAAGGTCTACCGAAAATAGTGAATTGAAACCCAGATGTACTGCTTATCAAGCCAAAACACCACTGGAAATGTAAAATCATCATTTCACAAGTTTGTTCACATTTCAGAAGTTTTAGTTTGGCAAGGAATTTCTAGAACACTAGCGGGCAAGCCCGCTTTTGTTGGCCTTTATTCGAAAGTTGGATCGAACTACCAGTGAAGCCCGCTTTCGTTCGCCGCCGGGATTCGAAAGTTGGACCAAACCACCAGTGTTCTGCACCTGCTTTATTCATGTATGCATCCACAAGATACTTCATAAACATTACACATGTGGAAAATCACGAAAATACCCATGTAGCCAGCCCGCTCGCTGGGATTCGAAAGTTGGACCGAACAACCAATGTTCAGCGGATTTGCGCAGACTTCGCCTGCTTTATTCACGTATACATCCAAAAGATACTGCATACACGATACAAATGCGTAAAATCACACAAACACCTATGGAGCCAGCCCGTTTGCCGGGATTCAAAAGTTGGACCGAACTACCAGTGTTCAGCGGTTCTGCGCAGGCTGCAGCCGCTTATTCACGTATGCATCCAGAAGATACTGCTTACACTATACACATGTGGAAAATCACGAAAACACCCATGCAGCCAGCCCGTTCACCGGGATTCAAAAGTTTGACTGAACTACCAGTGTTCAGTGACTTTACCGCTCAGCTGCTAATGGGCCGTTATAGAAAGTGTAATCACGAAAATTTTCGGGTTTGTTATTCAAACAGTAGCTTCATTATTAAAATTCCTTTATTTTTTATAAATTTCAACATAATCACACACAAAATTGTATCAATATATATTAATGCAATTAATAATTCATAATTATTTATAATAAGAAAAGTTTGCAATATACCATCTCCAAGGAACATATATTCAATTTAAAACCCTGAACGAAAAAAAATGTTTATTTAAAATTTAAATTAGTGTTTTAAATAGTAATCTCAACTTCTTGTTTAAATATCTGCATAGAAAATCTTTAATCTAAAAGAAAAAAATCAAAAGTAAAATCTAAATATTGAAAAAAAAGTAGCTGTTGTCATTGACTGCAGTTTAATCCACTTATCAATGGGATAAACAAATCTACAGTCAATTAATTAACTACAACTAAATGAAGAGAGTGTTTCTATTTATTGTTTTATTTTATCACACACAAAATTCAAAATGTATAAAATGTGAATGCAGTTTTTAAATTAACAGTAACAGAATTATATAACACGAATGAATAGATCTTTAAAAAAATAGGAAGCAAAACATTAAATATTTCGCAAAAATCTAAATGTTGATACTTGTTTCGAGTCCGTATGTTAATTAGAAGAAAAGTTATTAATTTTTAAATGATTTTTCACGTTTAAATCCATGAACTTTGACCTTTTTGCCAACCCAAGGCTCAAGCGGATGCCAGCTTACCCCCCCCCCCAATTGCTTTCAAAAAAGTATTTTTATCTATTTATTTATTTAGTATCATCTAATTAAGAGACTGTTGCCACTCGGAAAAATGGGCACAGAAGTTAACGCTTTTGCAGTTTTTAATTAAAATCTCGGCCGATTAAAGTCGTACAAAGATGAGACCGGTATCGATGGATTCGGAGAATTGTTTGGAATCTGGGGATATCAGTCCCGAGTTTCAACTCCGCACCATTCCATAGATATTCGAGAAAAAAGAATCTGCGTGCCACGCAGCCAAATCCCTAAAATAGAGAAAATCCAAGAAAGAAAGTGCAAAACGTTGGGGGAAAATTAGTTTTTAATTAATATCTCGACTAATTAAAGTCGCACGAATACAGCAATGGTCAATATGGTGAGCCACAGACCTGACGATTCCAACGGTGTGTTCCGCTAAGCCGTTTCGGAGATGATGTTACAAACAAACAGACAGAGGCACACAGATTTTAATAGTATAGATTTTACATTTGAATCCAGTAGGTACAGGTTACAAAATCATAGCAAAATGAATTCATCACAATCGACGAAATGAAGCTACTTTGGGGGATCTGTATGTACATGTCACTTGTAGATTTACTATTTAGAAGATGGTAATGATTACTGCAAACAAGGTAGGAAATGATTTCAAATGCAATGACCATAAATCGTTGGGAAGAGATTTGTATGCGTGTACAAATATGCATGCTGTCCACTGTAGTGAACAAACTGTAGCAAATATTTAAAACGAAATTTGATTAAATTAATTTTTTTAATTGTTACTAAGGTTGTTTTCAGTAGAAAAAATACAAACATTTTCATTTAACTTCTCAAGATCATTTGAATGCAACAAAGGGTTAAGGTTTTACTCCGTGTGGAGCTTCTGGTTTGTGTTAGTTTCTTATCCCTTACTGGTGCCTGTTTGTGAAATTCTGTGTTCACTTATATTCAGTAATTATTTTCAAAGTTTTATTTCAAATATCTGTGTTTTCTAACATTGGTGTGAAAAAGCTGTTATTAGAATGTTAAAAAAAAAGCCTTAAAATTTTATATTAGATGTCTTTTTCATACAGAAGTCATTAGATGAATGTACTAACTAATGTGAACATATAAAAATATCCAGTAACAAAAGAAGAGTTTTCTAAACAGTCTGTAAATATTGGAACTTATTTATATTGATAAAAACATGAATAATGTATCTCTCTGTGTGTAAGGGCAACAGTCTGTCATTCTGGTAGAAAATCAAATGCTAAATTACTGTATTAAAATTTTGCAGGCATATGTAGACAATAAATTCTTTAATTCGTTAGGCCTTGTGTGTTGAAGTGATGTGCTTTAAATTAGAGGCATTAACACTTTAGAAAGGCTACTTTATTTTATTTATTTATTTATTTTGGCCTTTGTCCATCTTCTGAGACTTAATCATTCAAGTTTTCTCTCTTTGTGTAGATTTTCCTCTTTCAGATATCTCTCACACGTGGATGTATAGATTTCCTCCTGAGTAAATGCATTCATTAGCTATATGACTTTCCTTCCTACATAGTTTATTTCAGATCTGTAATGTACGTTTACAATTTTCTAGATTGTATGCTTCTCTTTTTTATTGTTAGTGTAGTCTAATTATTATCTGCTTATATTTGTAAGTACGGTCCTTGCTCTTTAGCTTATTTTATTTCCTCACCAATTTAACTGCTATCAGAAATATTAAAACAATTATTTTCTTTATCATTTGTCTTTTTTATTTAAATTCTTACTTCTTGTGTTAATCCTTTATTTATCATATAACTATTTTTAAATTGATTTTTATCAAAAAAGTAGAAAATTTTGTTTAACCCTTTGTTGCTCAGTGTTCCACTACATGGAGCACCCGAATTGAATAGCTTCTGAAACCGTCAAATTTAACTATAAATGAATAAAAATGCCTTTATAATATACTTCGAACTTCTCTTTTTAAATAATCGATGGCAGCATACCACAACGACACCCAGAGTTTTCATTTATGACATGTTATTAAAATCCACTTATTTTGTATATTTTTTTGGTGATACAAAAATATTTGTTTGAAAAACAATTTCTGTATAATTTTGATGGCTGTACTCTGTATATATATATATAATATATATACATTTTTCATACAAAAAGAATGCACAGAATCATTGAATAAAACGGGGTGTTCCAATAGCGGGAACACTGCGCCTTTAGCAATCTCATGCTATTACTCATCACAACATCTGTCTTAGGAGAAAACATCTGTTGCATATGTTTTCTATTTATGTTGTTTGGGGGAAATGAATTCAAACAAAGCAGTCTTGAGGGGTGAGGTGTGGTTTGTGCTATGAAAGCCCTAATATGGTCATCTTGAAATTTTTGTGAGCAATTTTCAGGCAGGATTTTTATCAGTAGCTCGAGTCATCTTTACTTAGAGCTGTGTGAATTTTTTTTGCTGTCGCTTTTTAGTCTCATTCCCATTTATTTTCAATAATTGTGTAGATATCTTTTTCTGTATGTATATCCTATAGCTTATTTTTCTTTGCTGTTAGTATTGTTAGTATTTTAATTGTAGTTAATTTTTTATTATTAATTTTCCATAAATGGCGCAGAGAGGTCTAACTCTTTTCCGAAGCGCTAAAAGTGCTTCATGAGTTACCCTCTTATTCTGAATCAGAGCATGAAGATAGCAACTATACTGAGATATATGCTCCTGAACCACTTGTGCAATCCAATTGTGGTATGTAGGATGAAACTATTTTATTTGATGAGAAGGTTGATTATCCATCTTACCCAGGCCCTTCTATGCAGCCTCAAGTTTTTACTTGGAATTCTAAACATATTGTTGCACAGAACAAGAAGCTGCACAAAACGAGTTTTGTGGTCAAAACCTGCAAAGTTGGTTTGTGCTTCTATCAAAAAGGTGTGACCTGCTTTGAACAATTTCACAAAGCTAAGAAATTGAAAATTTATAAATATCTTTGTTTATAGGACTTTTGTATATACATATATTTATCCATATTTATTCAACAATGTTGTGTATATACAGAAAACCATGTATACAGCCATAATACAGTGTTTTTTCATTACTATAAAAACGCTCCTACTCATTTCTGTGCTTCACTGCAATGCTCGCTTAGTCGCACTTTCAAATCTGGCGGCGCAGTGTTCCACCTCATGGAACACCCACAGAATTAAAACGGTAAGTGCAATTTATATAAAATTTTACCTGTATACTCCTTTAGACCTAGATAGACTGCATACAACTTTTTTTTTTTTTTTTTTTTTTTTTTTTTATCTGAAATTCCGACTTGAAAGTATAGTGCACCATAAAGGGTTAAAGCAAACTTCTTTTTAATGAAATAAGGGAGAAAGTATTCATTTTGATATATTGAAGGATTATAAGTAATAGGCATCTTTAAATGCACATAAGAAAATATACATTAGATCTAATAAGGAAAGTGTATAACTTACCATTCAGTATTAGAACATTATGAAAAGCAGGGCTTCGGAGTCGGAATCGAGCAGATTTTGGAGTAAAAGGAATCAGAGCTGGAGTCGCTAAAAACAGGTCGATTCCCAACTCCAGTTTTTGTTGGACGATTTGAACGTAAAATAAAATTAAAATGAATTGAAAAAAATTAATGACAAGCTGAGTTATTATTTTTATTTATGAACTGTATACATTAATAAATAGTTATTTTCTATTTTATTGACATATTAATAAATAAATATAAGGGAGGAGGATGGATGTGATATTTGCCATTAGTGATTAAACTGTTTCATTTTGCAACAGATCTCACTGGTAAATTTAGGTAAGCAGCAATAGCAGCAAGAACTCCTAAAAGTAATGCCATTCTTAGGAAGCGAGCAGAAAAAATGAGCAATTATTGACCAAGCAATGCAATAAGGAATTACATATTTGATGATGAAGAGGCTTTTAGAATTAAGAACTTTTTTAGGAGATGTAGATAACCATAATATTTCACTAACAGAAAGACTGTGGAATGATCTTGCAGAATTGGAGACTCTTTCTATACCGTATATAGCCACAAAACAGCTACAATCTGAAGAATTGACAGGAGGCGAGAATGGAAGAATGGGATGTTTGTTTTTTTCTGAAATGGAGGGTTTATTGCAGAAGGAATCATTTCTTCAGTGAACAAAAGAGAAACTAGTTTGCTAGACAATGAGATCTTGCTGGGTTCAATATTTGTAGATCCAGAAGACCAAACTTTCTTGGATAAGGAAAAAATTAAAAAGACAAAGAAAGCCATCTAAGAACTTTCCTTAAGAATGAAATTATTCTCAGAACAATTGGAGTATTCGAAATCAGGACTGTTATAACATGCAGACATTGCAAACTGCAGTCTCTGTCATCCTCTTCCAGTGATGAATTAGATTTTGTGAAATATTTTTATGGATAATATTGAAAAGGCTAAGGCAATGAGCGAAATGAAAATAAAGAACCAAGGAGCCTTGAGATATAAAATAAAAATGAAAAAATACAAACAAGATTTCTACATGACCTTTGAAGAAATAGAAATATGATTGCATTTGCAAAGACACCTCTTTTAGAACTTATAAAAATCTATCCTGAAAAGTTAAAAGAAGTACCCTAACAGTAACAGCTCTTCCTCCTACTCAAGTTAGTGTAGAAAGACTCTTCTCAGCCCTGAAGTTTATCAAATTACATCTATGACCCTCCAACAAAGAAGGTATTGCCGAAGCTATACCATTTCTTAGAAATAACCAGTGCCAGTTTTTCCATTTCATAATAAATGCTAATTAATATAAATAATTTGCTATGCCATCGGGTGTTTTTTTTTTCTCCTGTACCATCTATTCTTTTATATTAAAAAAATAAGCTCTAAGCCATATGTATAAGTTGACACACACACATATATATATGAAGGAGTCGGAGTCTTTAAAATTCCAGGAGTCTAGAGTCGGATTCGGTCATTTTCCTTATCGACTCCACAGCCATAATGTAAAGACAATATTGCTTGCACCTAATACACTACCTGCCATTAATAATGCAGTACCAAGAAGGAGTGTCCTGAAAGTGATGAAACTCTGCAAACAGAGACAGCAACGAACAGTAAGTGATCTTTATTTCAAAATGATAAGCATAATACAGAGCAATAACAGCATCGACTCAGTTGGTCGTAGGATCACTTTGAACCATGATACATGAAGCAACACCTAGAGTCATTGAGATACTGGATGGTGTCCTGAGAAATGGCTCTCCATTTCCTGTCAACCGTTTGCCACAGTTGGTCTTCTGAATGTGGCAATGGCAGGGTCTGTAAATGGTATCCAACCACATCCCAGATGGGTTCGATTGTTGAGAGATCAGAAGGGAACGTTGGCGAGGGAAGCATTTGTACACCTTGCACAGCACATTGGCAGTGTTTGGTTGTGCATTATCCTGCTGATAAAGGGCATTGTGCACTCCATGAAGGTAGGGGATTGTCACCGGCCACAGCAATCATTCACATATCATTGGGCCATCAAATAGTCCCTGAATACGAACTAGACTGGAATCGTAAGCATTTGTGCCCCAAACCATGATGCCAGATTTTCGCATGGTGAGGTGTTCCACAATTGCTCCCGGATCGGACCTGTCTCCACATTGATGCCACACTCATACATGGCGACTATTATTGGAAAAACAGAAGTGTGACTCATCTGAGAACACGACTCTGTGCCATACTGCCTTCCACATCACTCAAGCCTGGCAACATTGCAGATGTTGGCATGTATGATGTGGGGTCAGTGCTAGTCTTAACGGTTGCCTTGAGTGCAGACCGCTAGTCACCAATTTACAGCAAATGGTTCTGGTCGATGTGGAAATATCCAGTGTGTCTTGAACATGCTGCAGAATGGAAAGAGAAATGGCTTGCGGTTGCACCCACCACTTGTTGGCGGATGTGTGAATCTGTGCACGCTGACGTCACTCTAGCTGCACTGGCACCCCTCAAACTTACCACATTTCTTTGTTCTGTTCATCGTCACCACAGCCTGTTTGCTGTGGATGCCTCCAGGTGTGTATCAGCTAGGATTTGCTGTATGGACCAACCTGCACTTCTCAGTCCAATAAGCCATTTCACATCATTCCCTTGTAAGATCGCCTGTCTGTGGGAACTGCCTCCTTTTAGGATGGCCTGGCATTCTCTGCTATTACACCCGCCCTCTGAGATAAGAATAAATTTTCTGCAACGATTTCCCTAGCAGAAATAACTGCATGAAAATTGAGCATTCTGCATGTCCCTTACCTTATATCTTATTCAGCGTGCACTTGGTGCATCTACCCTGCCCTAAAATTTGCATAATTTTCAGGCTACTTCTTCTTGGTGTTGCATTGATAGTGGGTAGTGTAATTTTATTGCTGATATGCATGGCAATAAAATTTCTGCAGATGCTTTTTTTATACATCACTAGTGATATATCAGAATTTGGTTTTAATTAAATGGCCTAGTTATAGATGCTGTGTGTCATTTTATTATTATAGTGAGATCACATTAAGCTTTTTCGTAAAACTCTCTCTTGTTCTACAAAAAATCTTTAAAATCTTTTTCTGCACGAAAAAATCTTTAAAAAAATGTTATTTCCAAATACACCACTAAAACTTAAGCTCGTTTTCATAAATTCAAGAGACAAATTCATTCATATGATTCACCTTGTAAGTGATGTACCTGGAGATGTTTATATTAAAAAAAATATCTTATTTAGCATGTAGGTCTGTTTTTGCTTGTCAGTTTAGTAAAATATACCAAGAAAGTATTTAGTGAATGTAAACATTTTCTCTAAAAATTAAATTTATATTTCTCCATCAAAGTACATGCTGTATGAAACTTCGATTATAGCACTTGTTCCTTTTTAATCACAGTCTTTGTTACTTTATATGCTTTTTATAGTTTCATGTATAGTCTGCTGCTCTTTTCTAATGTAGTGCTTTCTTCTCATTTGGTGTTTATATCTATAGGTGTTTTGTAAATAAACTGGACAGCATTTCTGATGAAACTTTTACAACTTTGTTACATTTACTTCATAAAGCTTTGTGGTCTGATGAAAAGCCTTTAGAAGAGCCGAAGTCAAATGCAGATCCTGCTGTAACAGTGGAAAAAATTATGGAGAATTTAGAAGGTAAACCATACATAACAGTGCATTAGCCCAAACTTCAGTATAATGACCTATAAGTCCTGATGGATGTTTTATTAGCTTAATTTTTCTGTCTGCATATAGGGACCCATCAGTCAGCCAATATTTATAGTGACCTTGAATGTTGTTTTGTGTGAAATCCACAAACAAGTAAATTCTGTTTTACCATGAGTACAATGTAAATATCATTTTGAAATTTAACTTTATTTGGAAGTTAATCGTAGAGACTATAATAATCATCTTTTATTCCCTCTTGAGCTTATTAATAGCACTTAAATATTTGGTTCTGCTGCATAGTCTTTGTATAATGCGTGGAATTTCTTTAAGCTGAAAAGATAGATGACTATATTAAATCTGTGTGTTGTCAGTCATTTTCTTCCACCATTCATCAAATTTCATGAGAATTAATCATTCTGAGTTCAAGGCAAGAAGTGAAGTCCTCATCAACTTTTCTTTGTGGTACATTGAAATGCGTAGTTATTAATATTATCTCCATTACTAGCTGTTAAGAAATTTGTGTTATGAATTCATACTAAATTAAAAGATTTTAAAAGCTATAGGTAAGCATATTTTTTGCCATTTAAGTAAAATTAGCAAAAATTTTCAGCATTTCCAAAAGAACGTTATTTACTCTTTTGAAAAATAAAAGATGCAAAAGTTGGTGGCTTGTTAAATGATTAGAGTATCTGTCGATTTTAAAATCTCTTCTGTTCCAAGCAAACAGAGATTGAACGTAATAGACAGCGATTTTTGTACTGAAAATTTTGATATCAATTTTAAGCATCTTAAGAAAATATAACTATGAAGTTAGTTCAATAATTAATAGCATGGTAATTAAAAATTAAACTTTCTATGCAATTTTGAAATTTGTTTTATAAATCTTTTATAAAAATATATTTATAATTGCATACTCCATGAGATTTTTAACTTTTACAAGCTAATGTTCTATTCGTGTTTCTTTTATAGTGTTCATTAACAGTTGTATTCTCAATGTCATAAAACTTTTAGTAACTTTTCTCATCAGCGTGTTTCAGTTCACATTTCAGAGTTTTTCTGAGAATTTGCAGTGTTTTTCTGGGTTTGATTGATGTTGACATGTCATTACTTTTTTCTGTACCACTTTCACCGTCAGTTTCTACAGTTGTGTTAAAATTTCTATAATATAATCAGTTTTTATACACGTTGCCTTAATATTGTCATTAGTTGGCCCATACTTGAAAAATAAATCTCCATACTGAAGTCTGAAACATCAGTTATAGTTTCCAGAGGCTTCTTCTGTGCAAGAGCTGTACGTAAAAAACGGTTGTATATGTGTTTTAAGAGACTGACCCTCAGCATTGACAATGCATAGTCTACCCTGGTCTAAAACCTAAATGTTAGAAGTTGTATTTACGGGAAAGAAACATTAATGTTTTTCAAAAAGAGATCAGAAGTGTGTGTGCTGCACAGTTATCTAATTAGTATTTTTTATTTTTTTGTTTTACAGTGTACTGTCTCATTTCAAAAGGAAGTCAGACAAAAATTCTGCCCTTGAGTCAATATTGCTGTGTTAATTCAGGGGTAAATTCTTGACTGCTTTCAAGCTTGTCTGCTTTTGTCTATAACCAGGGCTGTCATCTCAGTTGTAGGGTCCATACTGCACATTAATAATTCAATAACTTTATCCTTCGGTGTCTTAACCATTTGCTGCTTCTCTTTTAAGTATTAATATGTATTTTGGCAATGTTCTGTAACACTGCCCAGTTTTATCTGTAGTATAAATTTCCAGTGGTTTGTGTTGATTTAGCAGCCTACAGAAAATGCTTTTTATCATCCACATGATGATCTGCCTCTTCCTTTCCGCTATGCCTTTCTCATTGAAATGTTAGATTTCTCTCATTAAATTCCACAACTTTTGTACTGAAAAGAACTCCAAAAATGGGAACATTAATTAGTTTCATAGCTTGAAAACATTCCAGAATTCGATTTTCCATCTTCTTTCTATGCTTCTTTGAGATACTTGCATCTTTTATTAGTTCATTACTTATGATTATTTTCTTAGTTCATTAATTATGTTTATAAATGCCAGCAGTTGGGAAATTCCCAGTTTAAACACATATTATTTTTAGTATTATTATCTAATTGCACTTACCAAGAACATCAAAATCTTTTACCACTTTGTTCTTTTCTTTCAAGCTTAAGTTTTTTTTTTTTTTTTTTTTTTTTTTTTTTTTTTTTTTTAAGATTTATTTGATATGTTAACAAACTAAGCATACAGCAAATTTTTAAAATACTTCTTCCAGTGATTTATTCAATTTCAAAACTCTTACTTGTAGCCAGCCGAAAGATTGCATTGTCTTTTAATTCAGGTTACTACATCATGATTACAGGCATGACCAATGCATTTTTTGCTTTTTGTGCAGTTTGCAGGTATCACACATTTTCCATTCAATTCCATTAATGTACAATAATGCTAGAAAGCATTGTATGAACTTTTGGAGAACTTTCTGCAAATATGATGTGTGTGCCGCTTTTTTTTTAACATGTAAATCGTAAAAGATGAAATGCAAAAATAGTGCTTCTTAGTAGTTGATATTTAAGAAAAATGACTTACTCATTTACCCACATATCACAAAAACATCCTTGGGATATCCTGAGGATATGCTCACATCCTTAGGGCATCACGGAATATCCCCCAAACCTCCTAAACACCTCCTCCCGAGTGCTTAATGTCACATTCCAGTCTATCCTCAGGACATCCTAAGTAAGTTCCATCAACAGCATACGGAATGTTATTAGGATCTCAACCCCTACTTACTACATCCTCAGGACATCCCGGGATATCCCACTAGCCTCCTAAACACATCCCATTATATCCTCAGACCATCTTATCTAGGTCCCATAGACAGCATATGGGATATTATTAGTATTTAAAGTCCTGCTTACTACAACATCCTCTGGAGCCCATAATATTCCAGTTTCCTCCTAAACTCATCCTTCCGAGTGCTTAATGTCACATCCCAGTATATCCTTAGGACATCCTATCTATGTCCTACCGATGATGTCCTACCAGGATGTTATCAGGATTTGAAATACTAGTTACCAGTATCCCTTTAACCTCTTAAATATATACTCCCAACTGCTTAATATCACATCCCAGTATATTCCCAGGAAACTTCCTTGCATTCCAGTGAAGGTGTTCTGATATCCTAAAACCTACTTATTTTACACAGTCTCAAATCCTTTTCTTATGTTTACTATGAAAAAATAAGAAATGTTGAGAATATTTATACAGCTTACTTTTTTAAAAAATCTGAATTTCAATTTGTATAATAATTTGTAAATATATTAAAACTGTGCGAGAGACTTAAAATGAATTATTAATACAAAATATTATATGAGAAAATATTCTTTTATTTTTAAGATATTGAAAATCTTTCAATCATTTTTTAACATCCAGTAACCCCAAATTGAATTCAATATATTCATAATTAAATTATTTTAGAAAATCATTTTCTATTTTCCGTTAATTTGCATTAAAAATTCAATAAAATTAGCCATTTAATAGTCATTATAGATTAAATGAATCATCTTTCTTTAATACATGTAAAGAATTTTTCAAGTGTTTTGATGAGACTGTTGGGAAATTGTTAAAAGGAAATTTTATTTTTTAACTAAATCAATTATCAGTGACAGAATAAATATGTTTTTGTAACATGAAAATGGTGCAGGCTTTTCTATATATTTAATATTTAGTTATAAAAATTATATTCTTGACATTGTTAACAATTCTTTACATCATTAGAAAAGTAACTCAAGAAGCTCTTCTAAAATTCTATCTTTCTGCTCACACAATTTTAAAAAAAAATCTAAAAGGGCCTTAGATTTTAGCAGTCACTCAAAAGGGCTCAAAGTTTTAATATGGTTTATCAGTGGAGATTATCAATAGAGATGAGGCAGTGGAAATAGCAAAGCATTTTATAAGATACTGACAACAGAAAGTTATATATCTTCTATATATTTGAAAAGTGGAAAAATATATCATGTAATTACATAAAAATATTAAATGTTTTCAATTAGATATATCGAATTAAATATTTTAAATGAATTGGATTAAAAAGTTTAAAAAAAATATTGTTAAGAATTGTGTGTATTGTTTTTAAATAGTTTGGCTTGTTAATCGATAACAGATTAGTTTTTAAAGGTAAATATGTCACGTTTTGCCAAATGGCAACACCTTGAGTGAAAAGAAAAATGAGTTTACAATTGATGATACGAAGTCACATTTCGAGACTAATAGCCCTTTTGGATTAAAAAAAAAAGTTCTGAAAATAATTTGCACTGGTTCATTGGTTATTAGTTTTTGGAAAATTCAGTAAAATGAAATTTACCAGTTGAAATCAGAATTAAATTATAAACTTCGTAAATTTTAGCACATGTTAAAGGTTATCTTAGCCAGAATTGTATTACTAACCATTCATTTCAGAGCAAAATAAAACAGTAATTGCCATTTATATGACAATCAATATCGTGTCGAAAATTTAAATCTGCATTTTACGCAACACAGAAAAACTTTAAAAGAAGATCTACTGTATGTTTACCATGCAATTAAGGCATATTATTCTGCAATCAACTCTACCAATTATTAATACTTCTAAGTATATTCAGCTTACTCTACTTAATATATGCTGTGTAAAATTTTCCATAAATTTATTAATTCATTTTATTTTGAGGTGAACTGTTATTCAACTCACGATGTCAACCAGAATGTTTAGTTCATTTTTTATTCAGTCTCAAAAGAGAAATCAAAATACATGGATTTATATAATGTTTTCAGTTTTTCATATGCGTCAGTTTGAGAACTTTCTATGTGTACCTATTTTTTTAAATGTCTAAAAATTTTTGTATATTCAAGGAAAGTTTATTCTTTCAACTTTAGTATAGAAGTGTTGTTAATTTACCAGCTAAAATTACTTAATGTGGAATACAGAAAAATATCTAACTACTTAGCTTTGTGACTTCATCTGCAGAGAAACTAAAAAAGTAGTTCAGCTAAATCTGTTATAATAAATATTTATAATCATGCTAAATCCTGCAATAACTATTAATATGACAAATTTTTGTAAACCTATTTATTTGCATGAAAAATCAGAAATTTATGGCAGTATATTATGATTAACAGAGAAAACACACTTTGCAAAATTCAAAATAGTTTTTATTAATCCACTTTATCACATTTTCTTTAAATTCCTGAAAAATAATCTTATATCTGTGTAAAAGAGGAATATGTATTCTTATGTATATAACAACTCATGATAAACTGCATCTCTGCCATTGCCTTTCACAGCACCTAAAATA